ACACATCCCTGCGGTGTTTCCTATCCAAGGAGAAGGCCAGCTCAGGCTCTGTTCGTGGGAAGCTGAATCAGGCTGCAAGATCTCTTCCTGAAGACAGGGATAAGTTTGGAAATATCCACTTCTTAGGGCTTTCTCAAAGGAGATGGGACACAAATTCAGTGAAGCATTCACTAAGCTGTTTTGATCAGGCTACCAGAGGACTGACAGGTCTCTTCCCACACTAGCCACAATGCCTGCTGTCTGTGCTGGGACATTCTCTCCCCCCCCACCCTTGCCTCTCCCATCTCCCCCTGGGACTCTCCTTTCTCCCATGGGGGCAGTCATGGCGTGGCTGGGAGCTCCTGCTACTGGAGCCTTTTTGCGTTGAAGCAGCCATCTCCTGCCCACAGACTGCCTGCAGAAGTCCCTGCCCCAGATCCCAAGCGCCCGGTCCTGCGCAGAGCAGCAGGACAGGACCTCCCCAGGCCTGGCCCGCCACCTCATGCGGTTTTCAGGTACCCCAGGAGGTGCCTGCACTTATCCTACCTTCCCAGGTGAGCCAGGGCAGGTGGTGGGTCGTGCTCTCGGGCTCTCCAGTCCCCTGCCCTGCTCGTGTATTCACGGGCACCTCCGAGCCAGCGAGAATCAAGCTCCACCCAGGACAGAGGGTGAGTAAGAGCGAGAGAAAGGCAAACTCTGGAGAGTTATTCCCTCCCCAGGATTGCAGGGGAGCCAGAGATAAGGGCTGCACATTCCTGAGCCGCAGGCGGCCTCTCCCTTCCCGTCTACCCCGAGCCTGTCAGACCAGCTCGGGCCTGACTTCAGAGCAGGCTAAGTGCTGGCAGTCGGGCATGGACCCTGGCCACCAGTCCCAGACTCGGCCCGGCACACCTCAGTCCAGCAGCCGCCCAGGGAAGGAGGGTTTGGGCTCATCAGGAACTTCTTTTACTCCGGGGTCTGCTTTGGGGAGACAGCGGTGTGCTGCAGCAGTAGCTCCTGGGCAATGGCACCACTGCAGCAGAAGTGATCAGGGTGCAGGGCCCTGTGCCTTCCTCTTACACAGCAATGTGCTGGCTGTGAAGGGTACCTGTGCCCCCCCATCTCCTTGGGGGTGCCATGCAAAGAGTATCTGAGG